AAAATGAATCAAATGTTTGCAAATTGTTAAATCTAACAGGCTACAACTTCTAATAAATATACATCGCATTATGTTAACATGAAACTAAAATATATGTATTTTCAATCATGTTTTGAAGTCTTCATGTTTATTAAAGTTTTTTTTTCAGAATATTAATATGATAAAAGTAATAACCATCCAATAAAAAACAATATAAGAATCATAATATAAAGTTGATCAATTTTCAAAAAATAAAATTAAACATAACATTTGGTTGACTTTCTGTTGTTATGATGAGCTGACAATAAAATTGAAAAATCATTTTATTTCAAGTAAAAAGTAGGTTTAACCGTTTGAGTGTAGATCGTAAATGACCGTTTTGCTATTACTTCATTTTTAATTTCTTCCGCACTCCATGGAGGCGCCACTTACTGTAGCACGTAAATTTACCACTAGGTTTAATTCCAGATAAACCTGATCAATTTGAATAAATGAAGTCAGATCAAAATATACGCGTATAAAATATATTTTGAACTCAAATACGTTTTCACAAAAATATATAATAAAAGAATATGAAAAGTTTGAAGTACGTGCATATTAATAAGAAAATCAGTTCTTTAAAAAGAGTGTTGAATATAAGCGCACAGTAGACCCTCTATTGAGTGCGGAAAACACTAAAACAGGGTGCACCAAAATCGATGATTCATAATCAAACGATTAAAGTATTATTGTTCACAAACATAAAAAAAATAATTTATTGTCACATTGACTATATTCAACTTCTTACTGAACAAAATACCCACAAATATTAACAGAACAACAAATGAAAAGTATTACAAAAATAAATAAATATTAACAGACAATGAATGAAAAAAACAAAAAAAAATTTGATAAAATTTGGAAGTTATGGGTAAATCGATTCACAGAAGAAAGTGAATATATATTTTAGAAATCGGTATAGATATATACATCTTTGTGTATTATTCTTCTAATATAATGATTAAAATGACTAAAAAAAAACAATCATATAATAGTTCATGCCGAATGTGTGACCATTTATCATAATTAACTTACCGCAGGGCAATGTATAATTTAGAAAAAAATTAAATTAAAAATTTTTGTATAGCTTTATATTTGACATTTTGCATGTCTCCTGAATATTTTGACACAACTTAGAAAAAATAGATGTATTTGTGTGTGTGAGAGAGAGAAAGAGATAGAGCGTGTGTATATGTGTGAGAGAGATAGAATGTGTGTGTGAGAGAAAGAGTGTGTGCGGGAGAGAGAGATAGCCTGTGTGTGAGAGGGAGAGAGTATGTGTGCGAGAGAGAGAGAGAGATAGCCTGTGTGTGAGAGAGAGATAGAGTTGTATGTTTGAATACAATTTTTCGTCCTTGATTTCGAGAGAACGGATGAACCGATTTGAATTATTTAAAGACGATTCAAATCGTATTGACAGGGGGACGTGCTGATTTGTTTCTGGCAAAGATAGAATCAGCCGTTTTGAAGATACGCAACAAAAAGCGCAATAATGGCAAAATCAAACCATTGATTTTTTCAAACTTTCGATTTTTCTTTAAATTAAAAAAAAAAATCAAAATTTTTAAAGATATCAATGAATGTTTCAAAAATCTCAAAACTTTCAAACTGTTTGAAGAAAGGGTATGGGCTTGTTTCCATACAGAATTGGCGCCACCCTGGTATTTAAATAATTTTGATGCCATTTTATAGGTATTTTCGAGAAAATCCGATATACCAAATTTCAAATCCGTAACTCACCATTTGGTCGAAATATCATTGAAAATATGTGAAAGTGGTCCCTTTGCATTACGTTTTGTTTATGTTTCATGTAAAACCTATATAAAGGTCGTTGCTCAAATATAAGCCCTTATGTTACATCTATAAAACCCGAATGATAAAATTTACAGTATTTATATTAATCATCTGAAAATATTTCAAACAATTGATAATAATTATTGATTAAATTTTAATTGATCATTGATTTTTTTATACGTCGACTATTTAATTGCGGCACGGGAAGCACCAGAAATTTGCCTTAAGGCACAATTTCATGCACCACTAGTTTTTATATGATTGTAATTTTTTTTGATCATCTTTTCCATAGTTTAGAAGTAAGTGCAATAGTATAGATTTACACTTTTCCACACATGTCTTATCTGTTCTGATGTGTACGCATATGAAGTACCAAATTATGTTTGTGTTTCGATTTTTTATGGCAAATCGGGCATTCGAATTTCGGTTCGACTCCACATTCGAACCTCAAATGCCGGTTAAGACTATGTGGTCTGGCGTAGGCATTACCGCAACGGCGGCAGGTAAATGCACCTCCCGGAACAACGACCGTCTGCTGGGAGGTCGAAGGTTGGGACAAAAGTCCGGCACCGGAAGAAGGTGAACGGAACGCACCTGATGATTGCCCTTGAGATTGGGCACTTGATAGAAAAACTCGCAAGTCGCATGGCTTTTCTTCATCGTCGTCGGGATTTTCGTCGGATAAATCGTCAACTTCAGTTTTCGGGAAGACATCTGCAAAAGAAATGAAGCGGAGTGGTTAGTATAAGGAATTTGGAAATATGTTGATAATATAAGTTTTATATGACATTATTCGTGGTATGATGCTAAAATATCTTTATAATTAACAGTATTTACCTAAAACATAAATGCTTGATAGTTTTTTTTAACAAATATGTAACATAAAAGCGATGTATGTTAGTTGCACCGCGCAAAAAAAAATTAGGCTAGGTTTGAATATGTAAAAATATTATATATTGTCCTTATATATAATTTCATTAAGTTTCATATTTTTGTTAAACCTCTATTTATATATACATATTAGCAATCCGATTGGTATTAAATTTTGTTTGTGTATCTTGATTTTTTATGTATTTTACTAAAAGAAAATTGAGTGACAGGTGTAATGCAATATCGATTAAAATTATTTATTGATATTATATACAATAGTAACAAATAAAGCAAATGAATATACCTTGAGACGCATCTAACATCATGAAATTTTTATTTAATTATGAAAATTTATTTATATGTTCTTGTATATTCTATGTTGTGTATAAGTACATTATTATTTCTAATATTGTTATTTTGTTATATTTATTATTATCTGTCACTTATTGTTTTTATTCCAATTTATTGTTTTTAGTATTTTTATTATTCAGAAATTTTATTTATTTTATTTATTATTATTATTATTATTTGCTTTTATTTTATATTAAATCATCATACTGCGTATATCATTTCAATGGAAATACTATCCTTTATTCTGTACTCTTTTTTATTTAAATTTATGTTATTGTTCATTATTATTATTAGATGTTGAATTATTTAGCAGTTGTAACAAATATTGTAATTAAATAAAAAAATATATTATGCTATATTGTATTTTACTTATGTTATATGTATAATAATTGTATTTTTATTTGCTATTATTAATTGTATTTTTAAGTGCTACTATTCTGTGGACTATGTGTTTAAAAAATAAAAAATAAACAACAAATATTCTATTAAAATTCTCTCATATGTAAAAAAAATAAAAATTAACCTCATCAAAAAAAATAAACATTTTTTAGTATTTTAGACATTTTGACTATATTTTCTCCCAAGAAACTCGTATTGAGCACGTTATCTGGATCTTTGATATTTATAGATATAAGTATCAATAAAATTGTTTTAAAATAACTTATGAATAACGTAGAATCTAAGGCCACATAAAAATTCACAAGATTTTTATATATCAATTTCGAATTTGAAAAAATCCTGAATGAAATTTTAGTTTATTAATATTATATACGACGATGAATAGATTTCTTAATAGAAATATGTGTATATACATTAAGTTGTATAATATAATTGTATACATACATGCAAGTATTCTTGGTCATATCAGGCTCTCCAAAATCACAAATGCAAAGCGTTTAATACCAAATATCGCCAAAAGCTTAATTATGTTAAATGCTATATTTGAATATCAAGCAGGACAATCACTAACATAACATGCATCACTTATTATTAACAATTTTATAAATATTATTATAACACATTAAATATATATATACGTTTAATATTTTCCAAAGAAAATCAATGTCAAAATATTATAAATTTTAAAATATTTTATAAAACAAAAAATCATATAATAAGATTAGTGAGTAGTGCTGTCTTAGGACAGATCCTAGACAACTCATTAAAATATGATTATATTTATTTATATTTCTAGATTTCTTTATAATATTTTATCTAGAACATTTTCTATATAAGGGTAATAAAATACACATTATCAATAATAGTCGAAGATATCAAAGAATTGTTTGAAATAACAACACAAAATCTTTACTCGACAAAGTTTTAAAACAAACGTGATTATAATAAAAAGAGTGAAACATTTTTTTTATTATTTTATTGACCTTATGAAACAAAATTTAATTTGGAAAACAAATAAAGGCTCTCTAATACTTATTTTTATGGAATGTATATTATTAATTTTGTCATACAATTAACAAAAATATTTTTTACATGGAAATATACCAACTATATAATAGTTTATTTTTATTTACAATTATATAACATTTTAAGCCTCATATAAAATATTTTATGCCAGCCTAAAATATTGTATAATATTATATTTATAATTTTTACAGCAAATAAATATAAATGTAGTCCATAAAGGAACCACATTTATTATACTTAATATATTATAATCAGTTACACGTTTATTCTATCAATTAATAATACTGTAAAATCTATTATATATCAAATATATAATAACAATAAATATAAGCTCTACTTTATTAAATCTTAAGATAAATATATTAAATAATTTATTCCCAATAAAAAATAAATTAAATAATTTTCATCAGATATGAAAATTCTAGATGATGAAAAAACACAACACTTGGAGAAAGTTGTTTTGAAAAATAAACATATACATAGTCAAATTTAAATTTGATAACAAAAAAACTAATAAAAAATATATTAATCTATAACAATATTTGAATCTAGCTTCACATTTCGCGAAAAAATATGTAATTTTAGCGAAAAAACTAGTGGTGTATGGCATCGTGTCTTAAGGCAAATTCTGTAACTTCTCGTAAAAAAAAATTAAATATGTTTTAAACTTTGAAAAATTTAGATTTTTGAGAAATTTTAAATTTTTGAAAAAAAAATACATTTCTGGAAAAAAACTTGTTTTTTTTAGTTTGAATTATTTTGGGAAATTTAAACTTTTTTCTAAGTAATCGCACTGCTTTAGCTGCATAGAGACGCAATATAGAAGCGCGTAGGCGCCGCATCGCCGTCTAACGGACAATCGATGTTACTAAACCCATAGAAATGTAAACAAAATTAATACAGATTATTAAAATCTCCATAAAATATCTGATAATTTGAAGGGCATATGTCAAATGATTATTTTTAAACTCAAAATAGCATTTTTTGAAAAAAAACATACACACACACACACACACACACATATACAACAATTTTTTTCTAAGGTATGTCAAAATGTTCAGAAACCTCTGAAATGTAAAGATATATACAAATTTTCATTTTCGATTGCGATTACTATAACTTGTCCCCACATGAAGTTAATAAAATTGCAAATTCAAACAGTAATGACACTAAAATAATTTTAAAAGATTTATAAAGAATCTAATTAGATTTTATGCTTAATATATCTTTAAAATGTCTTAAGTTAACAGATGTACAAGTGGATAATTAAATATTTTCAGATAAATTTTGTCTAAAATTAATTATTGCAGAACATTCAAATTTTCATGCACATTATGTTCTTAAAAAGTTTAAAAGTTTTAAGTAAACAAATTCGGAATTAAGGTCATCCCCAGAATATCGACGTAATGACAACAGTTTTTTTATTCTGATGATATTTTTTAATATAATTTATTAGCAATATGATTAAGAATGTCTTTAATTTTTCTAGAAGAAAAACTGCTTTATTTATCTCTATTATTAAAATGGAAGATTTGCGGGCCAGAATGAATAACCTTGACCAGGATGTTTACGTTCCATGTGAGTTTTTAGATGATGTTTATGCCTAAAAGTTGCAGTATTACAATATGAACATTTGAACATCCTCTGAATTCCACATTCATATTTCAAATGCCTAAGCAAAGATGTCTTATTAACATATGAATTTCCGCAGCGTTGACAACAAAATTCTCTTCCAGGTGCTACATTTGATCCAATCTCAGCAAAATAATCTGAAAATAGAAATTTATTTAATGAGATAATTAAAGGATTGAATTAAAATAGGAATCTCTATAAAAAGATTCTACTTTTTGATGTGCAAATTCAAATAAAGTATTAATTTTGACGTTGTGAGATTGCTAAGTTTTGAAATCGGTCTAATAATTATTTGTAGATATGCAGCAAATTTTTATACCTTAGGTCTAACTTATAATTTATAAAAATCGAGTAAAGATATTGTGATATTATTACTATACTATTTATTTGTCAAACATCATTTAAATCCATTTTAATGTTCTATCATGTTGATAATTAAGTTAGTTATTACAAACTTATTGTTATAAATATAAGCCTTTTAGTGACGTGCCTTTCAAGTCGCCTTTTAGTGATGTGCATTTATAATGAAATGATAAAAATTTGGTAGGGGCACTTGGACCCAACATTTTTGTTGGAAAAAGCATTTTTATATAAAAGTTCAGTTGATAGAAATACATACAAGTCTATAGACAACACTGATGTTTTATTAGAGTTCAATTATTTGATTTATTGATCCTTTTGAATTTTTGGGCACCCATGAAACAGCCTAAATATATCGATAGTCGACTATCAATAGTTCATATTTCGTTTTTATTTATTAATTCACTTTTTTTTTAATTACATTATATGATTAAATATATATGAGTTTATTACCCAAGGGTATTTTTCTCCAACAATGTTCAGGAATATTATTACACATATTTTGTCTTTAAAAATAAAATCATATACTTCAAGTAATAGGTACTATATTTTGAGAGATCAAAGTATTACATAATCAATTAATTAGTATATGTAACTAATACATTGAAATACTATAATTTAATTCATATATTGTAACTTATTTTTTATATCATATTTTAATTACTATTACTTATAGTTTATAGTTTATTTACAGACATCTTTGGCAAATGAAGTTTTCAATATTTGTACTATTCTTAAAAATAGCATTTTGTTCTTGATGTTGAAATTACAAGTATTCAATCACTGGGATACAAAATTGATTTAAAATAGGTAAATAATTAAGCACATTCACTCACATTTATACACATACACACACCTATATATATATATATATATATATATATATATATATATATATATATATACAGAGAATTATTATTGATAGTAATAACATAATATGTACGTTACATAATTAATATTGTTATCATAATATAGGTAAAAAAATATATTTATTTATTTCATTATAAGATCAGACAAAATGAAAAGCATCAAACTTTAATTATATTTCAAATCTCAAGAAATAGGAAAGATACTGTCACTTTCTTTTTAATTCATAATGTAAGATGCATATTTTAAATATTATAGTTTTACTAAAAATGATAATTTTATTATTTTGATTATAATCTATTTTTTCAAGATTATCCTTGTCCTTCAATTCATCAATGACTTTCATTTTTAGCTACTCAAGGGCTCTATTTGTAGCCACATAAAATAATTATTCTTTTTGTTTAATTCATTATGAAAGATATTTTAAATATTATAGTTATACTAAAATGATAATTATATGATTTTGATTATAATATATTTTTCCAAGATTAACCTTGTTTTCCATCATTGACTTTTTTTTTAGGAAATCAAGTGCTCCTTTTTTAGCCACATAATAAAATTATTCTTTTTATTTAATTCATAATGAACGATATTTTTTATAGTTTTACTAAACATGATAATTTTATTATTCTGATTATAATATATTTTTCCAAGAATAACCTTGTCCTCCATCATTGACTTTCTGTTTTAGGAACTCAAGGGCTCCATTATTAGCTAGATAAAAAAAATATTTTTTTTGTTTAGTTCATGATCAGAGATATTTTAAACATTAAAGTTTTATTAGAAATGATAATTTTATTATTTTGATTATAATATATTTTTTCAAGATTATCCTTATCCTCCATCGTTGACTATCTTTTTTAGGAACTCAAGGGCTCCATTTTTAGCCACATCAAAAAATTATTCTGTTGTTTAATTCATAGTGAAAGATATTTTCATAAATATAGTTTTACTAAAAATGATAATTTTATTATTTTGGCTATAATATATTTTTCCAAGCTTATCCTTGTCCCTCATCATTGACTTTGTTTTTTAGTAACTCCAGGCCTCCATTTTAGCCACATAAAAATTTTTTTTTGTTTAATTCATATTGAAAGATATTTTAAATATTATAGTCATACTAAAAATGATAATTTTATTATTCTGATTCTAATAAATTTTTCCAGAATTATCCTTGTCCAAGGGCTCCATTTTTACTCAAAATTGTGTTGTCTTTTAGTATGCTTGGCAAAATTCCTTTTATATTTGGATTTAAATGGACAAAGCGAGCAAACAAAAAGAGGCTCATCTCTGCATTCATATGTCTGATGCCTTTTCAGAATATATTTGTTGCAATAACTTTTTCCACACATAAAACAGCAATGCCTTTCTCCAGATTGTGAAGAATTTGTTGGTCGGGCTCGGCGAGGTTCAAATGGAAACATACCTTTGAAGTAGCCAGAAGAGCCTGAAAAAAATAAATATAACTTTGATTTATCAAAACAGTCAATAAATCAATTATTTGTAGGTTTTGGCAAAAGTATACTAAAATAAGTTTAACAACGCACACCTAAATCTAACCAGGAGAACTTTAGGTTTACTCTTCTAGGATTTTGGTGAAAGTTTGCATGGTGATAGAGTTAATAGTAAGAGCAACTTCCCTGAAATATTATAGCCTGTGAGAAGTGGTTGCTTCATAAAATAATATTTTAAGGCGTTCGTTCTGACTAACAACTGTATCACCATGCAACTTTGAGCAAGGTTTGATAAAAATTCCAAAAGTGGGGGCATGCATTAATCACGTGAGGTTTTCAGGGAGAAGGTGAGTTTGACTAAAATATGACGTGGGGGAGAGAGGGCTATAGTAAGATATCACGTGTATTTATTTTATCTAATTTTTCTTTTTAAATACAAACTTTTTCGAAAAATAAAACAAAAATTTTACCATTTTTTCTTGTAACTAAAAATACACGTGATGTTTCGTTGAGGAAGGGGGTAATTTTGAATATGATTACCAAGAGGGAGTGATGATCCAAAAATCCATAAAAAATCACGTGATTAATTGATGCCCCTTGAGGAAATCTAAAGTTTTCCTTGTAAATATTATATAATAAAACCCGCAAAAATACTTTTTGAAAAAAAGTGAAACTTATTTTGTGTATCTTAAAATTGCTTTAATCAATCTAATAGATTTGAGTAATAATGTCATTTTTAAACTTTCCAATTCATCTCTAATAAATTAAATGTAAATTTTGAGCTAGATCAAAATAAGATTATTGAGCTGGTTTTCTTTAGATTTAGGTGTACAATACTTTGAATACATCACTAAAAACTAAAAACATATTTTGGTACTTTACTTGCTACTATATTGAAATTTGTTCCATTTGCTTTAATTTTTTGGCACAAACAGAATAAATATAACAATAAAAATATTAAAAAAAAAATTGAATTGTTAAATAAAACACCAAATTTTCTACACAAATAAATTTCCATATTTTTTTTCAATAAAATATATTTAAAATATAAGTGATTTTTATGTGTTCACATAACAATTTTTTGCTAAAATATATTTAACTTCATTAGTTATAAAATTAGTTTCATATTCAAACATATTTATACGCTTTTCAAATACAATTATCAAACAATTTCATTTCAACTTTAAATTTGTTTCTTTAGAAAGTATTGAATGCATCTTGCTATAATATTTATTGTTGCATAATTGGAATGTTAATAACACAGAATATTTCATAATTTATCTTAACACAACTTAATTTAAACCATCTTAATTAACTTGTTTGTACAGACCTATAAATAAATTAATGCCCCTTTCACAATATGATATTACTCTAACATATTATTTTATTCCAACAAATATGTGTGAATATTAATTGCGAGTATTTATGTAATAAGAGAGGCACTATAAAACTTTTGTGATATAGTAGATAATTCATTCAACAAGATCTATTTTGGTTTAAATAACACTTTTATAACAAACTTATATATTAATAATTATAGTGGCATTCGTGTAACTTTTACAGTAACAAGTATACATCATAAATATGTTTATGTTCTACTTATTCGAGATCACTTAAACATATTATTTGAAGATAAATTAGTTCAGGCATAATACCTATTAAAAAACTGGGTAATCAAAAATTACAAATCTATTAAATCCATAGGTCAGAATAAAAAACGATCTACATCGTCTACATCGAGACCGACAGTTATTCAAGTTTTTTTCTCTGATGTAGATTGAAATTTATAGATTTAATAAACTTGTAATTTCCAATTCAGCTTTAAAAATTGGTAACTAATTTATCTATATATATATAATATAATATAAATATGTAATAGAAATCTTAGTGTTTCTTTGTTTTCATGAGTTGTTTCAAATTGGAATGTAACATGTCGATTTTTATAGTATTTATGATTTTTTTATATTTTTCGGTTTAAATCATTTCTGCTCGTGATATTGCATTAGATATTTAATTTATCATTCAACATATATTATAACACAAGCCAACTTTGAAATGAAAAATCACAAAATATTTCCTTTTTTGTCTCCACCAACGAATTTAATCTGTAATTTAATATTATTTCGTGCTAAATTACTAAAAAGATAATATTTATTATATGCTGAATTAAAGTTTAATTGTTTCTTAAAATGTTATATATATTAAAATCACTGGAATAATAGCCCTGAGTTTTTTGTATTAAAAAATGCAATAATAATTATTGAGCCTGAGCAGCTTTATTTCTCTTTTACTCTAAACAATTGATAATTTTAGTTTTATTTAAAAAAATTAAATAATACAATTCATTAGTATCAAATTAACAATAACAATTAAATTGTGATAATACAAATATTGTATTATTCTAAATAGTTTTTGTAGATTCGAAACTGCTTTTAAATTGAACCAAAAAATCTCAAAATGCTCTTTCATTTAATATTATCACACAAATAATAATTTCATCATGCAATTTAATTAATAATTAATAACAAAGTATCTGTATTAACTGAAACTGTACAAATAACTATAAACTGTTATAATTTTGAATAATTAAATTCAGTTAAGAGTCTTTGTTACAGGCGATTAAGAAAAGGAAAATTTTCTGTGGATTATACAAATTATATTGTGAAATAAATTATTTAAAATAAATAATTAGATTGCGAATGAATTAAAAATTCAAATAATGATATAAAAATAGTTTTTGTTAGAAATCTAATGAAATGCATATGTAAAAAGCTGGCTCATAAATAATGTTAAAAAATATCAGTTTGTAAAAATATGCAATTTGATATATTCATAGTAAGGTATATACTTTTAACAATATATTAGGAGGCGTCCATTAATCAAGTGATCGATCTTTTAGGAATTTTTAGACCCTCCCCCACCTCACCCCCACTAGACATCACATGTATTTTTCTCCCATAATATTTAAAATTACCCCCCTTCCCCCTCCAAACATCACAAACAATTTTTTTAAATTTACGAAATAATCGTCGATTTTTTTTTTGAAAATTCAGGTATAAAAATAACTACACGTGATATCTTACTAGATCCCCCCCTCCCCCACGTAATTTTTCGTGATTTTTGTTAAACCCCCCCCTCCCTCTGAAAGCCTCACGTTATCAATGGACGACCCTAATAAACACACAAAAAAAAATTGTGAAAAGTTGTTCTAAAATATCAAAAGTTTAATCATCTGACATTTGGACTAAATTTGTGCGTTGTTAATAATAACAAAATTTGAAAATATTAGAGGCATGTGAAAAATGTTTAATTCAGTGCTTTTAAAAGTTTTTTTTTACACAGGCAAGGCGGTGATCTCTGTATGCTGAAATTTAAATTAAATGAAAATCGATAAAATTTGAACTTACGTATAACACTTTTTGTAAACCTCTAATTTTTACTAAACCCTGGCCAGTAAATCTTGTTAATAGTAACCTCTCCAATAAAATCGTCTGGAGTAAACACTACTTTTACATTAAAAATAAGTTGTTACAGATTTCGGTGCTCTCGATGAATTTCTTCTTGAAAATCATTTTAAACGTTCTCTTAAAGACTAAACAATCATATCATAAGAATGCAGTGTTGTGCAAACGTACATTTAATAAATAAATCTATCATTTTGAAACCTATTACCACTAAAACATATCTTCTTGACACTCGTCTTTTATAGAATCATTTTTAATGCCTATCTCCGAATGTTTCCTTTTCATGTGTTTATCCAAATTTCGTTTATATTTCGAAATAAACAAACATTGGTCACATTTAAACTGAGGTTGGATCCCGACACATTCGTATTTTTCATGTCGATCTCTGTTATATTTTTGTTTGTAAGCATGTCCACACCTGGAACAACCGTACATCACCTGGTTCTCCGATTGTTGGCCGATGCCCATTTCTGATATCCAAAACAGGGTAACATCATCTGTGGAAAAAAAATAGATAATGTAGTCTAAGTATTGAAAAAATATAGAGAAATGTGGATAAATAAAAGTTGATAAGATACACATGCTTAGGAAATGATAATATTCATACATTGTCTAGAAGGTAATGGAAGAAGAGAAATTTAGTTGAGAAGGATTTACAGAATTGAGAAATAGCAGAAATCTACATAATATATGAGAGGATCTATAATGTTAAATCACTAATAAACTTATCAAATTTTTAAGAAGCTTATTGATTTATGTACTTTTTAAATTGTTGATTGTTACAGTCACATCCACCATAGAAGACTTTATGTAATCCTAAATAGAAAATATTTTTTGAAGTAAAACTTCTTTAGGCGCGTCTAGGGTGTAAATCTGTACAAATGCAACGGAAGTCCGTTACACCTGAACTGTTCGTCGAGCGTCACTGTAATCGATGAGATCATTTCTATACGGGTCGATTGTGATTAGTCGTCGTGTATGTGAATAGAGATCTGCTTTGTATGCGTACCGATATCAACAAGGAAATCGGCATAGTACAAATCGTAGTACAAATCTTGATTTAATGACAAATGCCTGAATCAGAAGAATATTTTACCCTGTTCCTTGAAAATAATAAAACAAATTAAACATTTGTACTTACGTTTAAGTTTATTGATTAAAAATTATTACTATATTATACGTAGTTTCTATAAATCTTTGAAGTTATTAAAATGGAAAATATTTTTTAGGCAAGACAGATATTACAGCTATTCAAAGAATGAGAACCAACTCATTAAATGACCTGAACGAATACTTTATATCATAGTGTGCGCAAACAGAATAATTACGATTTCTAAATTATCCATCATGATGGAATAATTTTCCTAAAAAAAAATGAAGTTTATGAAAATAACAAGTTTGGATTTAAGTAAATATAAAATTTTCTGGAGTTGTGAGAAAAACATAAATGTTTTGATAAACTATATGCAACTATATAGCTTGTAAACAAAAAAAAGTTTTGAAAATACTAACAAAATACTAAAAAAATTTAAAATATTTATAAGTAAAATATTATATAATTTCTATAAAATAATAAGTTTTGAAAATAGTAACATATACACAACAGAGGCTAATTCTGCGGTTACAAAGACGATAGCATAGCGTTGTTATGGCAACGCTATCTTATCCTTCTTTCTTGGTACCAAAAACTGTGAAAATGCTATCTATTTGCTTGGTCAGAAGTATTTTACATATGAACAAACCTATAAAGAATGTTATTATATATGCATATTTGTGATGTGCGATCTTACAGCAAATAGATTGCATTTTTACAGTCTTTAGTACCAAGAAAGAAGGATAAGATAAGAACAACATTATGTTATTGTCTATGGTACCACAGATATGTACTATACTAATTTTTTTATATATACTATATTATATATAATATAATATACATTAGAATTTTAAGAATTTATTATTTTGTAGAAATTATTATATATTTAATTATTCATCAATATTATTTTCCTATACATTCTCGACAGTGCAAGTAAAGATATCTTAATAATTCAGGTTTGATTTTAAATAAAACATTCATAGCAAAAGTAAAATAATTTAAAAAAAATATATTGAGTAACTACACATTTTACATACTGCTTTTAATTTAATACTAACCATTATCCATTAAAATTATTTATATTTGTTTAGATCAATAATTGGAAGTTCTATAAAGATTTACATGCATCAGAAAAGAATCTCTTCAAATAAAATAATAAGACAAGAATTTAAATTTCATATAAAAATATTAGCTCATAAATATATGAAATATATAATTGAGCACTTTTTTTAATATCTATGATTATTTTGAAAAACGAGCATAAAAAACTTTAAATATATTAATAATACACAATTTAATTATATTCGTTTTTTTTATTTTTACAATAAAAATATGGCGGTATACATATATAAAACGATTATATTTATTAATTACATGTTTATACAAAAATATATTATTTATAATAAAATAAATTTAAATTAAACTTGATTCAGTACGAGTATTAATACTAGTAAAATATGCATCTAGAAAACGACCAAGATATTAATACATAAGTACATAAATATAATTCATGCATAATGCATGATTACTTGTATTATTATAATAAACACATTATTCAGTCAATTTACATAATAAAATGTAAAAATATATGTAAAATATGAATTATATACTAGAAATGCAAATAAAATATTTGCATAGATAGAATAAAAGTCTTACTTATAGAACCATATAAATTGATAAAATTTTTGAGAGTTCTTCAAAGTATTAATAAATCATATGAGAAATTTATGAAGTATACCCAGAGCGGGTCAATTTATATGAGTCAAAAAAGTCGCTTAGGCATATATAGTTTTCGGATACTAGGGATCAAAATAAGATACTTTGCTGAAGAAACCATATATCTAAAATGAATTATGATGTCCCGTGCATTGGTCCAAAAATAAGGGTTAAAATTTGAAAATTTTATTTCGACGCATTTAGAGTGCTGAGAAGGCTGATCCACCCATGCCCATAGTTCACCCCCCCCCCGTACCCCCTCTGAGAGACTTTTCAAAATTTGACCCTCATCTTTGGGTCAATGCACGGGACACCAGATTTCATTTTAGAGGTGTGGTTTATTTGGCAAAGTATGTTATTTTAAATCCAAAAATCAAATGTGTCTAAGTGACCATTAAATCGATCTGCCCTAATACCAATATATGAAGTACGTATTGAATGTTAAATTGTTTTTACATTTTGTCAATTCTATATAAAAAATCTTCAAAACTTGAAAGCTAATATGCTTCAATCACTATATAAAATAGCATTCGTTTATAAATGCACTGAAAAGGTACGGTTGAACAACTTGGTTCCACGCAATTGGCATCGTTCATCAAGGTCCAAGTTCATGGAACATCCACAAATCACTATTAAAGATCAAAGTCTTATTTTATCATTCCAATCCAATAATATCATCTTCTCTCACCATTTTCAACAAGATCATCTGAAATCTTTGTCTTGAGGAAGCTGATTCTTGTTATTGATATCTTTCAAATCGATCGATGGATGTGCCAAGTAAACTGTCATAAAATGTGATTTAACATTTCTTTTATAATTTGTCCAAAAACTACACAAATCACACTGGAACTGAGGTGCTTTGTTCCCACATTCAAACTGTATATGTTGTTTTAAATTCATTTTTTTGTGAAAGAAGTCCTATTTTACCTTTCCTGCTCTCTGATATTATCATCTCTCACCGTCTCCAACAAGATCATCTAAAATCTTTATCTTGAGGAATTTGATTCTTATCGTTGATAGCTTTCAAATCAATCGATGGTTGTGCCAAATGAACTGTCCTAAAATGTGACAACATTTTTTTTATATTTTGTCCGAAACCTACATAAATCGCATTGGAACTAAGGTGCTTTGTTCCCACATTCGAACTGTATATGTTGTTTTTTATAAAAAAAATCCTAATTTATCTTTCCAATCAAATAATATCATTTTTTCACCATCTCCAACAAGATCATCTGAAATCTTTATCTTGAGAAAGTTGATTATTACTATTGATTGATTTCAAATCGATTGATGGTTGTGCCAAATGAACTGTCATAAAATGAGATTTAACATTTCTTCTATATTTTGTCCGAAAACTGCACAAATCACATTGGTACTGAGGTGCTATGTTTCCAAATTCGAACTGTATATATTGTTTTAAATTCCTTTTTTTTTGTAAAAGAAGTCCAATTTTATCTTTCTTATCCAATAATATCATCTTCCCTCACCATCTCCAACAAACTCATCTGAAATCTTTATCTTGAGGAAGTTGATTCTTACTATTGATAGCTTTCAAATCGATCGATGGTTGTGCCAAGTGAACTGTCATAAAATGCGATTTAACATTTCTTTTATATTTTGTCCGAAAACTACACAAATCGCATTGGAACTGAGGTGCTTTATTCCCACATTCGAATTGTATATGTTGTTTCAAATTCCATTTTCTGGTAAAAGAAGATGGACATCTTTCACAATAAAATAAAGGAGATTGCTGCTGTTGATTTTGAAGTGGGTTGTGTCTTATTAGAGTTGATTGGAGAAATTTCTCGGGTAATGACCCGAAGGATGTAGTTTCGGACAATCCTAGCGTTGGCAACTTCTGCATTTCTGGATGAACTAAAAAATATTAAAAACAAAGTATATTAACCTCATGTAAAATTATATACAAATGATTCTTTTAAAAAGCTAATATATCTAATTCGGTAATATTATCTAATATATTTGTGTTATTATTAGCCAAATTTTGAAACTTTTGCCAGCCTATATCACACTTTTTCAGATTTCTTTGATGTGAAATTAGTAAAAGCAACAATTACAATAAATTCTCATGGTGAACTTAATATTTATATAAGAAAGGAATTTAATGTATTTATTTGTTGGAATAACTTGTTTGCTTTAGAAATATAAACTTGAATAATTAGAATATTATATTATATATATAAAGTAATTCAGACAAAAATATGATCATGATATTTTCAATGGCTGCCCTGATTCTCATGAAGAAATTATATGCATATTTATATGAGTATGTATCCAATTGAAGAAATTATTACACTTTTTTATCTTGAATTAATAGATATTGAGGCTACTATTTTACAATTTTTTATTTAAATAATCACTACATAAATACAATTAATTTATCACTAAAATGCACATTTATTTACAATTGATTTAACATTTAGTTTATATGATATTAACTAATTATGTATATATTAATCCTATAATTTTGTATTCGTAAAACTATAGAATTTTAATCTTCATAAGATGATTTTAATAACCTTCCGAAATTCACAGTTTATTTTAGAATGAATTAAATAAAATAAATTATGCAATAATCCTATTTAAAAATATAATAAACATAAATGATTTTTAGTTTTGTTTCATTAATGAATAATGAAGTAATTATTATTGTAGCTGTTACTTGTAAAATAAAAAAGTTTTTGTATTTGATATATATTCCATATTGAAATATACTATTAGATTATTTAACAAAGCGTCTAAATAAAATAGTTTTTTTTAAATTTTGAGAATAAAATGTATCTCATCATTCAGCTAAAATGATCTAAGAATAAATTAATAAATATTGAGCTAGAAAAAAAATTTTCATTCAATAAAACCAAGAATTAATCAAAAACAATTGTACTATAGGAAATACTCATGTTTTTTACCATAGAACAATTTTTATGAATAAATATAATATATATCAGTAAGTATCAGCATACTTAATATTTTAAAAAAGTCGAAAACTTTTGTAAAATGTAATATTATTTTATCATTTTCATAAGACATTAAAATTAATAAAAATTATAACAAGCGTAAAAAATATTCTTTGGCTTATATTTTACATATTATTTAACTATAAATATTTTATTTTTTAACTATTAAAAATAATGTATGGATCAATCAAGATAATATAATATTGTACTTTGTAGGAATGAAGAAGATGATTTCTTACGATATAAGTAATTTCTAAAAATGATTCGTTGTGATAAAAATTATTTAAGTACTAAGATGCATAAAAATGTTTTGTATTTTAATTTTTCAATTTAATAAAGTTTAATTTTTATTGGTAATAGAAACAACTACTTAAAAAATTATTACTGGTAAAATTGATTTAAGTTTGATGGCTTTGGTTCCATGTCAAATGGACTACCAGAGTCAGAATATACTTTCTGCTAAAATAGAAATATAGATTATTCAAAAATCATACGAATATTAACACTTTAACTTTTATGTTTCGAAGCCAAATGATTTTTCAAATGACATTTTCGATTTGCTCTATAAGTGCATAAATGACAAGCAAACAGTTTTGATTGTGAGCATTCATATCGAATATGTCTGAAAAGTGTGTTTCGGTTTTGTAGACTTTTCCACATTGATTGCAGAGATGTATGCTTAACTTTTCTTCATTACAATGACACTTTTTGGGTGGATTAAGTTTGAGTCCTGAAATAAAATGAAAATCGATTAGAAGTGAAGAAAAAATATTTTGAGAGCAGAACACTTTACAGTTATATTATAGTTTAAATATTGGTCTGAAAGTGCATTTGTACACATCAATATTTATGTATAAAAAGGCACACACTCATATATAAATTATCAAAAAAGTATTAAATAAAATTACTATACACAATAAACCTCTTTGTGCTCATAAGCGTTTACAAGAAAATTGAACAAATATTTTGTACCTGATAAGTTTTTCTTGTTTACCTTTTTTTGTTTTATTTTGAATAGCAAATTATGCACTCAGTACATTTAGATACTTTTACAGTAATTCTTGTTTATCTGATATAACAAAATATTTTTGATCGATTTTTTTAAACAGCAATCAAAACTAGTATTCTTAAAGCTGTTGTATTGCTGTATGTACTATTATTCTAATATAATTCATTAACCAAGCGATATTATAAAAAGATTCATAAAAGTTATACAATTTATTTTGGACAAAACTATTTCCTACAAGATTCTACTTCCAATATAAAAATTTTATAATGGTAAAGAACGTTTCTGTGGTGATCTCTTGGGATCGCAAATTGTTTCGGATTCGATATCCACCTTCCAGATTGGCATCAAGTTTTGGGGCATTGTTTATCTTGTTATGAAGTATCTAAACACAAGCGTCAATGCCACTAACATAAAATTATCTTAGTTTCTTAGATAACTCGAACATGCAGCTCGTCGACCCGGAGGTTTGGCGCCGGGTCGACACGCCAGATGTTCTTGTTCCTAAGAAACGCAGGTACTAATAAGAAAGCAACTCAGCGGTTGTTCATTCTCCTTCTGTATTATATTGTGAGTAAAATTTTCTAATAGGTTGTTATATATTACAAAGCAATACTCCAAATAGCTATTTTCACTTGAAATCTCATATGGATTCAAGTGAAAACTCATATCACTACTGCTTGATATCATATCAAGCACTCTCTGGAACCCGTGGTTGCAAGATCAAAGTTTTTCCACAGAGCCCCGGAGATGCCTAAAATTAAGTAATATGGCAATTCATGATCTTCAAATATGACACCTATTTGCATCTTTAGATTAGATTAGAACAATCTTAAAGGCATCTTTTCGTCTAGAATTTTTTTCTAACAATATTATAAAGTACATAAAATAATATGTTAAATATATTATGAATTATAACAAATAAAATATTGGCGATAGGAAAAAACAGTATGTTTAGTTGCAGGTAGTATAAAAATAAAAAAATCTTAATAATAAAGGGTTTACCTGTTACAATCACTGATGCATTGATGCTGAATCCCCTTTTTAAATATTAATAAAAATTATTACTGGACTATAATTAAATTATAGTGAAATATTAACTTTATGCAGTTAAATATATTAAGTGTTACTGAGAAAATAGACGTAACGTGTATATTTATCATTTAAATTTCTTTACAATTTATTTTAGAATCAATATAGGACCTATTAGAACGCAAATTGACCAATAAAAAAGTCGTAAATTATTTCGACAATGCTACAGAAAAAATATGCAAATATATATCATATTACATTAAAATTTATTAGACTAAATACAACAGCCAATGCACAATTTTTTTCTAGTTATACTTACAATATATAATAATCAGGTTTTAAAACTATGTGACTGATTTGTACACAGCAGGAATGTTAAAGTTCACAAAACGTGCAAAAACATATATACTAGAAAAATACTTTTTTTGGAATAAGCTTAGTGTATTAAAATTAATTTAACTTATTGTATTACTAAAAAAAAATTTAGTAATTGATCAATTAAAGTGATCAAAAAAAAGTTACATATACAAATAAAATTTAAGTCAGTATCGCGAGTTCTATTATTGAATATAAAAATTCAATAGTTAAAATTACAAGTTAATTTTTGAACACAAATAAGATTCTAATATCGTATGAATGAATTTCTGCGCACAAAATATAATTTTCACTTCCTTGCTTTTGACTATGCAAAAACCTTTCTCTTATATGTTTCTTATATATTAATTTTATTATATACTTAATTCTCTAAGTCATATTTTAAAAATCATTAAGACTTTAGACTGATTTAACGCATTCTACGTATTAACTAAACGTGATGTCGATTGAATAAATAAATAAATAGAGACTTATAATCTAATCATTTCCTAAACTCAAAGAAACACATAATGATGGATTTTATACACATTAATAAAAATATTCAGAAAAAAAAATTTACGCTAAAATAAATAAATTTGTTTTATTCATAAATATAAACTAATATTTCCTAAGCCCAAAAGACACATAATGATGGATTTTATATATATTTTTTATAAAAAAGTTCAGTAGAAACGGAATATTATACTAAAATAAAGAATTCAATTAGAAATACATATTACATATATGTCGGTTTATGCAATAGGTGCAAAAAATATTTTTGAATATTTCGAGCAAAACATATTTTCATAAAATTATATTTTCTAGATTTTCAAATTTTTAAAAACTTAGATTTAAATTGAGTCTAAGCTATTACTTGTTAATGAAATTACAACTCATGAAATATCTGAAAATAATTTATAGAAATAAGTTTATTTAAAATTATATAACTAAAGTTGCAAATAAGAAAATTGCCAAATGCTAAAATCCAAACCTTATTTTTAACATGTGAATTAAAATAAAGTGATCACTTTAATCTTTTCGAATTTCCATTTTAAAATTCACAAAAAATAAAAGTAAAATCACGAAAACAAACTTTCTGAATTTTTTGCCGAGGTGAAAAGACTCAATTGAAAAAAATACAATAAAACGATACTTTTTTATAAAGTTAATTTTGAAGAAAATTGTACGGAATTTTAAATAAAATTATACGATCTCTCTGGAGCCCATGTTTGCAAGACCAAAGCAGTTACCACGGAGTCACAAATAAGCTTAAAATTGAGTAATTTTTGTGAAATAATTACATTATAATATTATGTTAGTAAAAACTTTGGAATTAAAAAAAAAATAAAAATAAAATCACGAAAACAATTCTGATTCTTTTGCAGAAGTAAGAAGACACAATTGAAAAATACACATAAAAACGATATTTTTTTTATAAAGTTAATTTTGAAGAAAATTGTACAAAAATTTAAATAAAATCATACAATGTTTAAATTAATTTTATAGAAGGTTAAAGCAAAAAAGGCTATGCATCAAAAAATATAAAAAGTTATGTACTTTTTGACCTGAATCTTTGCTCATGTAATAAATCATTTTCTTAACGAATGTTAAGCCTGTTAACCAAATTGTAGCAGAAAAGGCTCAAGACTTTCCTTCAATTTTTTTATTTGAGATTGCCATAAACTCTCATCTTTAATTTTCAACGCAGACATTAATAAAATTATTAATTTAAAATGTCAGACTTTTTATTTATTTACAGCAATCCGAATCAATACTATTACACTTATTAAATCCGTAGCTCTTATCGTTAATAAATCAACCTCATTGTAATAATAAATAAATCAATAATAAGCCTTTTATTTCTTGCCTCATTGTAATAATAATTTAAAAATGTAGTCATATTATTTATTATTTTCAATTCTATACTATTCCACCAATTAAATCCTTAAATTTTCAATATTAATAAATTATGCTTGAACAGAAGCAGATAATAATAAAATTAATAATTTGAAAACGTATCAGACTTGTTATTTATTTAATGCTATCCAAATTAATATCATCCTACTAAATAAATCCTTACACTCTCATCGTTGATAAATCATGCTTAATAAAACCATACAGAAACAATATTAATAATTTCAAAATGTATAATTTTTTTACAGCAATCCAGTTTAGTACTATTCTCGCAATTAAATCCATCATAACGTGCTAATTAAGCCATAATATTATTTATTATTGTCAATTAGAGCAGTGCTCCTTGATATCGACTTCAACAAAATAATTTTTATGCTTCGAAGCTATATGGCTTTTCAAGTGGCATCTACGATTTGCTCGATAAGGACACATATGACAAGGAAATAATTTTAACCGATTACATTCATAACGAATATGCCTAAATAAAGTTTTACGATTTTTATAAACACGACCACATTGATTACAATAAAAAGTATTCATTAACTCGTCTCTGCTATATTGTGTATTTTCCACAATCGGACTCTGATCTCTGCCTGGTTTATCTATTAGACTGTTCATCCAAAAGCTTCCTAGAAGTAAAAAAAATAGTTAGTAAGGAAAATGATCGAAAGGATAATCTAAGTTGTCTAACACTCTGTAAAGTATATAGTACATAGTACTGAGCTAAATATATATATATACTTATTACATTTGTAAAAGTATATATATATACTTATTACATTTGTTTGGTTTCGATTATTTGAATATACAAACATGTCATGCAACAAAAACTGTATTTACTATCTACATGCTTGTTGTAAATATTTCTATTACTTACTTCACACACATAATTATTTTATAAAATTCTTGATGAATTTTATGGCTGTAATTAAAAAATATATACTATGATTTTGTTACTTAATAAACACAATAAAACTCAATTAAAAATCTACAAACAAACAGATATACATACTTCTGAAAAAAATATGGTCAAGAAAAATCCTGTCATTAGTCAATTTATTTTAATATCGGTAATTTTATATACTAAAAAACGTATGTACAAATGATCAGAATCTATTTAACATAATACAAATGGATTTCGTTTAATATTATACTTCTATAATTAAATTCGTTCTTAAATAAAATGATTCATATGAATTTTTATTGCTACTGCTATTATTATATTTGATTCACAGTAAATGAAATGAATTAATTATCCTTATTATAGATTATTACCACTTATTATTACCATATATTCTTTCAGTTTTTACATTTGACAACACACTTAGTTCCCTGTTTTCTACTTAAAAATCTACATCTTCGTCTGACAAAGTCACCGATTCCGTTTATAAAATCAATTGTTTAGACTGTGACAGTTGTGAAATCGGCGAAAGTTCCCAATACATCAGCAAAAGAATAAAGCAGCATATTTATAACTCAATAAATCCGGAACTATTTAAAACAATGTTTTCTGAACACATTATTAACTTCAAACACTTTTTTAATACTGACCATCCTATAATTTTATATAAAGAAAAGAATGTGGACCTTAGAAGATTTTCCGAATCTTGTTTTAGATTTTTTAAATTTGCCAAATTGTATATTATTAATTCTAAAACTTTTCCTTATATTGTAAATTTCTTTTAGCTGATTGATGAAACACAGCTAGCCTCCAAACGTATACAAATTTAAAATAAATATTTCTTCATTCGACGCATTGAATGTTTTATTCTTTTCAATATGTCTCAATGTCAAACAAAAAATCCTCAATATATATATATATATATATATATATATATATATATATACTTTCCAAAAAAAATTCTTATCTTCAGTCTCATATATAATTTGAAAACATTAAATTTAGTTTTCTTCTACTTTATTTGATGACTACACATAAGTCATACTAAACTTCATTAAAATTGGATACAAAACTTATATTGATATATATATATATATATATATATATATAAAATATATATATATATATATAAATAAATAAATACAACTACTAATTAACAGAAGTATGATGCTTAACTTCATTTAATTACATATCCTATATTTTCAAAAAATGATTTAAATCAAGTCGAGGTAGTGCTGGCAGTATAATTGTGTTTTTATCTTTTATTTAAATTGCTCTAATACGTGCCATAAAAAAATTAATAATCATAATCAATCCACATGCCTATTTCTTAATTAAAAATAAAAGTTCCTTCATAATGATATGTCCTGATTCCATATGTAATATATACGAGTACATTCACTTACAATTTGGCAGTAGAGTAAATTGAAATATCATAAACTTCCATTGCATTTTTACAAAATCAGTATTAAACAGTATTCTTATGTTTAAGCATAATATGTGTCTTCAAAGCAGCATTTTGAGTTGCCCTGTAGTTACACTGATTACAAGGAAACATCCTTTGCTTGCCACACTCGTATCGAATGTGTCTTTTCAGGGTGTATTTATACTTATACTGCCTGGGACAATTCGAGCATTTGTATACACCTTGTTCTTCTTGATACTTGGCAAAATTATCCACAGACACCAATCTTGTATCAATAATGAAGTAATCTAAAACAAAAAACAATAAATATATTAGAAAAGGTAATTTGTATAAGTACGAATACGATATGAGCATAGTAAAATCAATATAAAAAATTAAACTGATATAATATAATATGTACTATATCAAAAGGTTAATGAATACAAATATAAAGAATTATAAATGATTAAATTTTATGCTATTTATGACTATTTTCCCTTTATAAAATTTAAAAACTTGCCACAAATGAACAAGACAAATTCTATTTCAATAACTTTATTACACAAATTCCATTTTAAGGCAGATCTATACATAATATCATTTGTATATCTACTAATATACAAATCTTCTGTATTTTATATCAATTCATGAGTGATATCTTATGTTTAAATCGATATTACTAAATTTAAAATTAACTAACATTAAAGTAAAATGTCTATGTTAAAAATACTTATATGGTGCAGCTGCATAAACAAACATATAGTAATATTTACATAATTTCTCTTATTATCTGTGCAAAGCACATTTGTTATTCTAAGTTTATTTATAAAACTAAGAAAATAATTTTGTGGTTGTAAACTACAATAAAGAATTAAGCAATATACCAATAATATGTTTTTTATGAAAAACAAAACTATATTTGGTCTAGTTGGCCATTGTTCATATAATATCAATAAACTCATGATTGGTAATATTTAAACCATTTTTTCAAATTACAAATCATGTTGTATATCAAAATTTCATTTATAAAACAAATATATGACAATATAATGAATAGAAAATATATTGTCTCATGCTCAGAAAGATGGGCTTTTATATATCAAAATCATGTAAAAATGCACATATTTAAAAAAATCACGAGTTTATGAATATATATATATATATATATATATATATATATATGTATATATATATAATATGTATAACAAAGCATGCAATATACAAAACTATCTTTTTCAAACAAATATTTTTCAACAATGAAATCTTTAACTAAGCTGACATAAAAATATCTAACCATACTTCCAACTGAGAATATTTTCAAATTGAAATTTAGTAATATTATAGATAATTTGATTTACTAGCTGACATAAATTTAACGCTTATTACTATCTTAACATAAAAATTTAATACACATTTATAAATATAAATCATTTGGTTTGCTTATAAGTATTTTTAAAATAAACCCTATTTATCGCTATGATCCTATAGAAAATTAAATTATTAGTAAAATATCTTACTTAATATGTAATATTGTAATACTTTTATTTAACTAGGTAGATGTGTTATTATATATTCCATATATACATATTTTAATTTATTTTTTACAGATATTATGTATATTGCAGCAACAGGTAATTAAAAATTGTTGTGGATGAAACTTGTTAAGACGTAAGCAAATGAATCTTAACCAGATTAAGATTTTTAAAAGTACTTAAATTATATATAAAAATCTTCAGAGGTAGCATTTTAAAATATAGTTAAACTTTGAGTAAACTTTAAAACATAATTTCATATAATTTTTTAAAAAGAAATTTGAAATTATATCCTATTTTCAATGTTATTATTTTTTCCAAGATCTTGCTCCAAAAAACGTAGTATAAGTCAGTAGTATATTCTTTCTTTTTTATATTTTATTTACACAACCTACCCAACAGATAAAGTAAAATTGTTTTATGAATTAAATCAAAAAAAAAGCAAAAATCTCAGTATTTTTCCTATAATTGTTTAACTCACTAACTGGCTCAAATATAATTAACGATAACCTACTATATTGATAAAAATATTCGAAAAAAAGTAATTTATTTGCAGATCATCCTAAAAATTCTTAAAACTTAACTTGTAATTAATGAATTTATAATAATGAAGTAATAATGAGATTGGTTAAAATAAAAATCAAATTTGTAAATAACAATGCCAATATGTTTAGAAAATGCAAATTGAACTTAAATTTGTCATTCAAATTCGTCCAAAACATTTGTTCTTTGGTTATTAATATGGAATTGTCGACCATTAGATATCTCACTTTTTTTTAAAAAAAAAAATTATGGTTACAATTACTTTCAAATTAATCTTTGAATAATCTTACTGTAAAAATTAATTATTTCGCCATTGAAGTAGTAAATCAATATTATGTATCATATAATGTCATATCAAATATATAAACGATAAAAACGTCCAAAATTTGAATTTAGATAGAGCAAGTATTCATAATTTGGGTTTATAGATTTTCGAAGCAATTCTTTTTATTTGGCAAAACAGTTGCAAAGTTTTGAGCTATTAGAACATATTACTATAATATAGTAAATAAATGTTGTTAACAAATAATTTTCTGATACTCATTTTACAACATATAATTATCAATATTTGAAAAGATATATAATTATGCAATTAATAAATTAATAATTGCTTGATAGTTTCAATTAAGTCATTAGTGTCATTATTAATAATTGCATATTATTATTAATTTATGCAAAATGGCATGTAACAAATAAGTTTAACATTTCCAATACTCTGAATCGGTAATATTTAGGATAGTTTTTGGCTTGATTGAACTGTTCATGATTCAAAAATTGCATTTTTTGAGTATTATTAGTTACAAAATAAATCGAGATAGACTGTAAAATATAGTACTATAGAATTTAGAGAATAAACACGTACTATATGTCTGAAATTTTAAATTGCTGACTGTTCACAAATTAAACTAGCTTTGACTATATTTGTATGTTTGGTTTGATTCCTGAATTTGTTGCAGATGCAGCTATTGAATATAATATGTATTAGCTTAACATTAACAAAACAAATAATACATATTTGGCTTTATAGATCTTTTGTAATAAGTTGATTATTCGCTATTGTAATAATATACCTTAACAGCTAATTGTATTTAGTTATTAGAATCAATGCGTCTCTTTAATATATTTTCATAATAGTGTAATACTAAAAATAAATATTCTAGATAAAATTCATAGAAAACGTTAAATTAAATTAAAAATACATGAATTAAAATATGATCATTAAAATGACTAATTAAGAATTATTTACATATTTTCTGTTCAAAACGAAATTTACAAACCTTCATCCGAGTAAAATACTAGTTCACGTATAGTTGTTAATTTGCTTATTATAGTTGTAAGAAATATGAAAGACATATCAAGCAAAACAATAATTTTATAAATTAGTGTAGAATTTTGATTTGGCTTCTTTACACTAAAAAAGAATTTATCAACGTTTATCTACAACATTCCATGCAACTTGTGTTTGATTCGATAAAAAAATACCAAGTGAGTATATAAAAATAGAACTTAAAAATTCCACAGCTGGCACTATAATAAAATATGTGGTAGTTCTAAAACGAATTAACCAAATGTTCCAAATTTAGTGATTAGGAAGTATAAAAAATGAGATTCCTCAGAACTCATAGGCTCAGATTATAATCAATTGCAAATAGTTTCAAGTTTTTTGAAACATGTTGAAATTCTTAAAGACTTGAGGTAAAATCAGTCAAAAAGAAAGAATTAGACTGGCTGTAGTTGGCACATGCAAGAGAAAAACATAAGACAGATGTTAAAACCAAAAATATTGTTTTGCATGATGATCCTATCATAATTTTACTTAAAATATAGACGCATTAAAAGATTCATTATTTTCCATTTTGTTCTGCGTTGCTCCCTGAGAATGTTTCCTCTGCATGTGGCTCTTCATAGATATTTTTTGTGCCGATTTGTAAGGACACAATGGACATTCAAAAGATTTCTTGTTTCCGCATTCGTATTTTCTATGAGTATATAAAGATGTCTTGTGTTTGTAGGATCTTCCACATCTTTCACAGCTAAACATTTGAGGAGTTCCATTATTTGAATTCGGTTCCCGTTTTATGTATTCGTTGGCCCTCACCAGAGTCGTCAAGAACTTTTGGCAATCAGGATTTACACCAGTTGCTGCACTAAACATGGACAACATTAGTGGATTGTCGAAGAAACCTGGAAAGGTGAGAGAAATGTTAGAATTGGTAGGATTCAATAAAGTATATACATAATTTTTAAAGATACACCATTTCTGGTTAAAATATGTGCACCAAATTACGAAATTTCTAATTGCCTTAGAATAAATTAGCCATATCAACCAGAACAACGTATTTATCACCTTAACATACAAAGCAATTGTGTCTAAAACACTTTGTTTCCAAATTTTGTCAATGCACAATCCAAGAAATATTATAATTAAAATGATAAATATTTTGCCCTGTGGCTATGGCTATAATAAAGCTGTGTCTATTATAAGATCATAAAATCTTCATATTCTATCCTACTTGTATTTTAAATTTTATTCATATAGTGTGTAAGCATGCGTGTGCTGCTAGTTTGCGAAAAACTATTTTATTTAATACTATACTTATATATATATATATATATATATATATATATATACATCTACCAAACATTTTTATCATCTGTACAACGAATACGTTCCTTTATTTCAGTGCATAATAATTAAGCTGGTGGTGCCAAATAGTGCACTTATCAGTGAAACTTACAATAAAAATGAAACACGTATTATTGGAATGTATTATATTATTAGGTTTTATTATAGGTTGACAAATAAATATTTTTATAAAAAAATATTAAGCAGCAAAAAAATATTTTTCAAAAAACAAATTTTGAAAGTGTTTTGTAGTAATAGAAAATCAAACATTTTATCGATTTTCTTTTGAGATTTTATGAAATTGGAGTTTGCTCCATGAAGGGGGTCATAAATAAATAATTCATGAGAATTTGAAAATTTTATTTAACGGATTTATAAGTTGTCTTGCGCTTGGGCTGCAAACTATCATCCTGGATCTTGATCTCGACTATTTTGGCGGTATGATTTCAGCATCTGCTTGGAATCACCTGAAATACAAATAAATTGGGTTAGTTTAAATTCATCCAACTGGTTGTTAATTTCCCGCTTTAGGAGTATTACACGCTTTTTCCAAATCCAAACGTATAAATATTTGTTTAAAAAAATGCTTTTATATCTATCAACATATAATTATGGAGAATTGTGTAAATGAAATAAAATAAAAAGTACAATTTCAGTAATAAATAAATATGTTTCAAATTGAAATTAATTCATTTGTTCCAAACGCGTTACAAGATGTATTTCTTTAGGTATATCAAGTTTGAATTACTTAAAGGGTGAGCCTGCTTTAGAGGCTTCAAAAATCGCTTTTTTGAAGAATTTTTAGGGAAGGAAACTAATGTTTAATCGAAACGAAACTTTCAGGTTTTATTGCTATATATTTCAACATTCTTTTCAATTTTTTTCATTAAAATATATGTCATAATATGCAGGGTACAAGCATTTTGCCGATGCGCCACGAGCGTGCAGGTGTAGGTCTTTACCCCATATGCAGATCACAATTTTCAACCGAAACAAAAAAATGAAAACAAATATATATTTTTAATAGTATAGATTCTAGTTGAACCGAAAAATCCAGAAAAAAATGAGAAGTTCACCAATTTTTCGCAACTTGAAAAAATCATGTTTTTTCACAAAATTTCACTTTAGATTGTTTAAAAAGTTTAATTATATTTTTTTAAAGTTTTTTTTAGGTTCAACTAGAATAGAATTTAATCGTGAATACAATGAATTTTGTCTGATTTCGATGGGACGTTTAGTTTTTTTTCTATCTTTTCCGCTAATTAGAAAAAATCGAAAAAATGAAAAACCGAGAAATCGCGCGTCGAAGTTTTCACTATTTCTACTATAACTTCGAAAATAGTTTCAATTTGTTTATGAAATTTTAGGGATATATTCTTGGCTCTCTTTGGAAGACATTTTTGCAAAAAAAAATTTAATTTTTATTTTATTAAAAAATTTTAATTTAAATTTTAATTTTATTTTTTCTTTAAGCCTCTAAAACAGGATTTATGTTTAATGGTACTTATTTTGGTAAGAACCCCTCCTGGAACTTAATGGTCTACATGTCTCTTGGAACATTACATTTACACCTCTACTGGCACTGTGATGGACATTTAGAACATTACTGTAATGTTTTACCATTATGCAATTGAAAGTTCCAGGAATAAGACTCTCAAAAATTCCAAAAACTCATAAATTTGAAAAACACATGATACTTTATCATGACAAAGAGTTAGATTGTCGAACAATTAGATCTGCAACATTGTTAGTGTGATAATAAATTATCTGTGAGAAACTTCATACAATAATAATAAAAATGCGGAATAAATAAAATTATTTATAGCACATAAAAAAGTAAAAAATAAAAATATTAATTTAAATATAAGAACTAAATTCAAATAAAAAATAAAGATATTGAAAATTAAACTATTAACTTACACTAAACTGGATCTATCCCGGAGTATGATAATCTGGATGTTTATATTTAATGTGATTGTATACATTGTGTCTCAGATGACATCTGTATGGGCAAACTGGACATTGAATATTTTTCTCTTTTCTGCATTCATAATTTTGATGTCGCTGCAACGATCTCAAATGTAAGTATGTCCGACCACAGTTTTGACAAGAATATTGCTGCTGAAGATTTTCTTGGTAACCGAACAGAAATCCTGTGAAACAAAATAATAACAATATTAGTAAAATATAAAGATGAGAAGTATGGACATAAAAAAAACTTCTTTGGCATAGGATTAGTAATAGTATTCGTATTTGCTCTGAAAGAAGTCAGTTCTTGTGATGCTTTAGTTGTACTCTTTCATTTTTCTTTTCTTGAATTAGTATTACTTATTATTATTATTATTCATACTTTATGCTATTATACATTTTCTGTTAATTTCCTGTTACACCAAACTTAGTAAACATTTTCATAAATTAGAAAACTTACCAATGAGTAGTTTTCTAAAATATTTTAACTTTGTTAAGTATCATATCAATTACTGAATGTCTTTTAATTGTAAGTTAGATGGTAATTTAAATATGAATAAAAAAAATATATGGTGTTTAAAGAGGTTTACTGTACCAAATTAAGCTAATAAAAATATATTTGTGTACTTGTTGTCTTATTGCTTTTACTTATAATTTTATACGTGCAAAAATGAGTTCACTTTTTGCGTGAAGCCTTGAAGAAATTATTCTCAAATGATTCTGGTAAAAGTAATGCAAATATAAAATTTATTTTGATTGTGGTTGAAATTTATGCCTATATTTTTAGGTTACTAAACAATCCTAAAATTGCTTCAAAATAGCGATACGATAATTAGTAGCTTCCAAGTAAGGTTGCTTATGTAAATATAATAATTAGTACATGAAAATCATGTATCGGGCTTTTACAACTGTTCATCGAAATGCGTTTCATGTTCCTTCCTAATATGCCTAACGGTTATTCTAATAACCAGTATATTGAAATTAGGACAGCGTAATTTCACAAGCCCGATAAAATTAATGGAATTTAAAAATCATACACGAAATTTCTAATCGCTGTCAGGAACGAGAATACATTACGAAATGTGGAGCATTTTGGGCGATGGTATGGTATGTGGAGCGCAATCAAACAGAAAACTTACTAGTCGGATTAACGTCAGGTCAACTTTTCCCAAAATTATGTGCGCCTTTCATTATTTCACTTCTCGAATTCGAGTAGGAGAATGCGTACAATAACGGATATGCTGACCGCATAATGTGCGCAGTAGCGCATTCGAATTCAGAAAATATTTGGTATAATAATTTAAGGTTCGAGTATATTCAGGTCCAATTCCTACATATTTATGACTAGTTAATTAATTCCCTAAATCATCATAGTTAAGAGAAAAATACATAGCCCTCTCCACAAATTGTCTATGTCTACAATAGTTGCACTGATTCGCAATAGTTAGACAGTATAGTGGGGCAAAAAACACCATTGATACTAATCATCAACATTTTTTTTTATTTCTTGAAGACGGAAATAACTGCATTATTTAGGTAATTTAATACCAAACCTTAATTTAGACATAATTTAGTGCATTAATAAAAGGTGAACCACTGGGTTTTCCTTTTAAAATTCTATGTTATTTATCAAATTAATTACTCAATGTCTTTCTCTATAGACAGATTGTAATTTGTAAAAAAATTAAAAATAAATTAGGTAATTTAAGGATTCAAGCTAAATACAGTTAATTTCATATATATTCACTTAATTGATGCA